TGGCATGTGTGCAAGTGTGCAGAAATGAGCATGAGCATTTGCATAGTGATGGCATGTATGCAAGAGTGCATTAACGAGCGCAAGCATGTGCATGGCATGTGCCCTTGGCCAAGTGATTGCGTGTGTGTGCCATGATGGGATTCTGCCTTATTATTGCCATTGTTATGTGCCTAACCTGCAGGGTCACTAAAATACTTGATTTGGGCCCAAGGGCTTAAATCCTTTGTGTATTGTGCTATCGTTGTTTAATGCTTGTCAGGAGGTGCATGTTAGTCTAGTTTAGGTTTAGGGGGCCTACTCGCTGAGATTTATTAGGGATAAGTACAGCGCAAGTGCCATAACTTTTGTACGGAGGACACTTAAGTGTCATAACTTTTTTTGGCTCACTTGAGTGCCATAACTTTCAAAAAAATGATGACTTAAGTGCCACTTACGAGCTGCTCGTGAGGGCCCGAAATCGCGGCTTTTCCGGCCTAACGGTGACCTTCCCGGTGAGGCGAACACCACCAGCTTGAAGAGGGGGTGTCGGTGAATCATTCCATGGCCTCAGTTTGTCTCGAAATTTCCATTTTAGCCTCCGTTGACGAAGGTAAAAATGCTTCGTAGTCACACAATTTATCGAGCCGATTTGTGTGACTACGAAGCATTTTTACCTTCGTTAACGGAGGCAAAAACGGAAATTTCGAGACGAACGGAGGCCATGGAATGATTCACCGACACCCCCTCTTCAAGCTGGTGGTGCTCGCCTCGCCAGAAAGGTCACCGTTCATCCGGAAAAGCCGCGGTTTCGGGCCGTCACGACCAGCTTGTCAGAGGGGTTGGTCGTGAGGGCCCGAAACCGCGACTTTTCCAGCCAAACGGTGACCTTCCCGGCGAGGCGAGCACCACCAGATTGAAGAGGGGATGTCGATGAATCATTATATGACCTCCGTTCGTCTCGAAATTTCCGTTTTAACCTCCGTTGGCGAAGGTAAAAATGCTTCGTAGTCACACAAATCGGCTCGATAAATTGTGTGACTACGAAGCATTTTTACCTTCGTCAACGGAGGCTAAAATGGAAATTTCGAGACGAACGGAGGTCATGGAATGATTCACCGACACCCCCTCTTCAAGCTGGTAGTGCTCGCCTCACCGGAAAGGTCATTGTTCGGCCGAAAAAATCGCGGTTTCGAGCCCTCACGACCAGCTCGTAAGTGGCACTTAAGTGATCATTTTTTTGAAAGTTATGGCACTCAAGTGAGCCAAAAAAAAGTTATAGCACTTAAGTGTCATCCGTACAAAAGTTATGGCACTTGCGCTGTACTTATCCCAATTTATTCTCACTGTTGTTTAAATCCCAACTTTTCAGACCCCCGACCTTGAGATGGCAGGTGTGCCGATTCGTTTTGGGATCCCGCACCGTATAGAGCGGTCGGTGATCGAGTACCCCGTAGGGAACGGGGAGACTTACATTAGACATTTTACCATTGTTTGGGTCAACGTGGGTGGGCCACAGCTCCAGGCTCATCAGTATCTGGTTTGGTGTTTTCGAGACCTGTTTGGAGTTTATGGGCCCCTTAGGACCTTTGATGTCCCGATCGTCGGGGTAAGCCAATGGGACCCGCAGCATATTGATGGAGAGGTAGCCAGTCCTGAGGCCGTGTCCGAGGAGGATTCTGACCCCCGGCCGATCATCTTCGAAATGGATTCCGATCCCGAGGAGGAGGAGCCAATGGAGTGGGAGTTCGACCCTGAGCCGGAGCTAATGAAGCTGGAGCCGGACCCGGAGGGCGATTCCGAGGAGGAGCCAGTGGAGGCCGAGTCCGAGCCGGATTCGATGGATTCCGAGTCCGAGTTGTCTGACGATTCGTTCGAGACCTCGGGATCCGACCTGGACTGGTTACCCTAGGACTTACCCTTGACCATAGTTAGGTAGGGCCGATACTTTTTGATAGAGCCCTTTTAGATTTAGTGCCTGACCGCCCGAGCCACATACCCATTTTTGATGTTAGTGGCTGCTGACCCATTTTGATTTGTATATAGTTCTGTTTGTAATGGATATTGTACATATCCCTATTAGTAATGCAAGTATGTCTTTATGATGGTTGTTGTTCATTGCTATCCTTGGTCGTGTGTTAATTATGTACGGGTGTTATGTTGCTTCCGCATGTGCTTTGTCCTCTATTTTGAGTTTTGGGTCAGTGACGCGTCCTGGGACGTCGCACTAAATCGACCGCGGTAGGGTTGTCGGGTGCCGTAGGGTTCGGGGCGTGACAACGGATGAGCGGCTACCACACGGGAGAGGAAGTGGACAAGGGGCTGAAGTAGGGGCGACTACTGGGCTCACGGCCGGAAGGGGGCCAAGCGATGGCGGCTGGGCGGCGGAGGCTCAGCCACGACCAAGATAGTCCAACCAAGGCTGAGCTAGGGCGGCATTGGGCTGTCCAGGTCGGTACGACGGCTGCAAGTGGCTAGGTAGGGTTATTGAGAGGCCCAGGTGGTGGCGGGCGGGCTTGACGGCGAGGGGGAGACGGCCCGACGCGACGGCCCAGGCGGCGGCGGGGCGGGATGAGAAGAAAAATAGGGGAAGGGAGGTTGTGGCGGCCAAGGGGGGCAGCAGGGCAACAGAGGTGGCTGAGGGGAGAGGCTGGGTGGCAGAGGTGGAGCGACAGCAACCAGAATGGCGGCACGCGCGGGCGGCGAGCCGCGGGAGCCGAAAGCGAGGAAGGCGCAGGAAAAGAAAAACGGGGGGATGGGAGGTCGCGCGGCGGCCAGAGGGCGGCTGGCGGCGTCGCAGTGGCCAGGTGACAAAGGACGGGCCGGCGGGCGGCTGGGCAGGTCTCAGCGAGTGGCGGTCGGCGGTCGGCATCGAGTAGCAAGGAGGAGAGCAGAAGCGGCGGCGGGAGGAAGAAGAAAAGAAGAAGAAAGAAAAAGAAAGAGAAGGGAGGAGAGAGAGAGAGAGAGAGAGAGAGAGAGAGAGAAAAGTCTGCATGGGGGGAAGGGTGAGGGGACGTCCGCACAGGGAGGAGTGGACGCGCGTAGGGGAGGGGCGCGAGAGAGAGAGAGAGAGAGAGAGAGAAGTCAAATTTTGTCCTCAAGTGCGATCCAACGGCCACAATTCGATCTCGCGAGCTTGATCCAACGGTCCCAAAAATCCCAATTCAAAATAAAGAAAAGACCAATAGACATCAAATAAAATAAACCCAGAGAGAGGTATACTGGTCAAAATCCGCATCCGGTCCAAATTTCACTTTTCACTTATCCCGGGTAATATCAACGCTGACCACAATCATATCAACACCGTCCAATTAAATTCGTCATAAAACTCCGAGAAATTCGACACCAAAGTTCGGGCTCTAAATAACGGCCAAATTCGACCGAGTGCGATTCTAGCGAAATCTCTAATTTAAAAATAACCCAAGAGTGATCAGTTCCGGGCGAGATTTTATTATAAGCGCACTGACGAAATACACCTTTTATAAATCCAAAAAATGGGTCAAAATTCGGAATGTCACATAATCGGCTAGAGGAAGAAGGAATGAAAAACAAAAAAATTATTAAAAATTATCAACGTCAGTGCCGATTGGTTAAAATTTGCCGAATGAATTGAATTGACATAAATGCAAAAGATTTAGGACTCAATTGACGAAAAAAAAAAGTTTACAACTGAATTAGTATAATTACGATAAGTTTATGACTTTTTTTGATAACTTTCCTGAACAAAAAGTGTAACTTACGTGGAAAATTCTCTACTCTCTCTCAGTAATCTAACGGACGGGCGGGTTCACAGGAAATAATTGCTAATAGCAATGAGACCAGAGAAAGATCAGGAATACCGTGGTCGTCTCAAGCAGTAATGAATGCTATGCATAAAGAGAGTACTACTTGAATCTCTCTCAAATTTTTTTAGTATATTTGACACAACTGGGTGAGCCCAAAAAAAGAACATTAGGTGCACAACTTGTAGACTTTCTTTCTCTTGCGCTCCATTCGTTCGGTGAAAAATATGATATTTTTGAAAAATATTTTTTGGGAAGTCATTTTCTTGGAAAACAACGTAATTTTCCGGTATTCGGCTGAAATTTGAAAAAGTTTCGGAAAATATTTTCTACTGCTCGAAGCGGCGATGGGCGGCTGGCAACCGGCAGGGAAAGAAGGAGGCCGGCGGAAAATGTTTTCCGCTTTTCAAAAGAGGAAAATATTTTCCTTACTTTTCTTCGTGTTTTCACTTATTAAGGGAAAATGTTTTTCGAGGTTAGTTTACTTTCCGCCCCCAAACACTGTAAAACCCGGAAAATATTTTCCTATTTTCCGCGAAACGAACGGAACCTAATAAGTGTTCATTTTTCTTTCCATTGATGCAATCGAGTAGAGATATGTCTGCATGAATAGTGCAAGTAAATAGCGAAATGTTTCGCATCACCAAATGCAATTGCCATTCAAATGTTCGCTCACTTTTTGGCGGGCCCAAACAAATTTCGGCTACATAGTCATATTCCCAAAGCCTCTTACTATCAACTTCCGAAAATGGTCGTTCATATCGTCATCGGTCTCGCGATACCAAAATGAAATCTCACGGGGTCGCTCGCTTCAATTTTCATTATTAATCATATCTTGGGAATCTGTGGCCCGTTCCATCTTCTGAACAAAAACGTGCAGCTTCGGTGGAGAATCCTCTACTCTCTCGGTGATCTAACGGAACAGGCGGATTCACGAGATATAAATTGCTAATGGCAAACGAGAGACCATAGAAAGATAAGGAATGTTGCAATCGTGTCAAAAAGGTACTACTCGAATCTCTTAATAAAAAAGAATTCGAGGGAACTTCTTAGTATATTGTGCTCTGACGCGGTTGCATATTATTGCCTCGAAAGAGCCACTGAATAACAGAGAAATCGCCGAATTGACCGTCGACGGTCGTCTCCCTCTGCTTCGCCGTATCTCCATAGAACCATCGCGGCACCAAGCGAAAGCCAGCAGCTCCTTCGTGCGCGTCGGTACACCGGCCCACCACCACCCTCCTCCTTCATATAGCCACTCTTCCACTCAGACATTTTCACAAGCACGCCCAAGGCGGAGACCTTCCCTCTCGAAGCACGCCCCGGACTGCTGCCACACTCGAGCGCTCTCCATGGATGCCGAATCGTCGCCGTGCGTGACGCCCCCAAATCTCGATTGCCCCTTTTTGTCGTAGAGTGCCCCCAAAGGGTCTCCTTTCTCACCCCAGTTTGCGTTCCCGATGCAGGTTCGAGAGCAGCGAGATGCTGGCGAGTTTCCTGGCGTCGACGCCCTTCTTGGAGGCGTCGTGGGGGCTGTGCAGCTTCGCGAACGCCGCCGCCCCGGGGGGCTTCGTGGCGGAGCGGCGCGGCGGGGTCGGGTACCTGGCGTTCTCGAGCGTCCAGGTGATCGACGGGTCCGAGCCCAGCTGCGGGACCCCGGTGGAGCTGGCCGAGTGGGGATGCGAGGATCTGTTCTCGCCGCTGAGGTGCGACGGCGACGGCGACGGCGAGGAGACGGTCAAGGTGGACGCCGGATTCCTCCGCCTCTTCCTGGAATTTTACCGGCGACCGGATTTCCGAAACCAGGTACGCCGTACGCAGTGCTTTTGGCCTTGTCACCGGATAACTACGAAGCTGAGACGGAACTAGGAGGACTTTGTTTGACTTTGTCCTTTTCTGGGTAATTTCATTACATATTCATCAGTCCAACATCATCATCAACTTCCACGAAATGATGGCTTAGCTTTCAGTCGCCCCTCATGATAAATGAAACGGCCTATGGACTTTGCATATCTTGTGATTTCATAATGTGGATCGTTTGTTTGGCGGTCAAGTCCCGTACCTAATGTGCATACCACATTTCAAGAGCCCAAAACGCCGCGGTTTTACTTGATTTTCAAAACAGAAAATGGGAGATGATCGCACAAATGGTCACTTAACTTTGGCCCAATCTAACGTAGTCCCTAAACTTTGTATTTGTTCAATGCGGTCCTTGAATTTTTGGTACATTTTCAATCTAGTCCTTGAATTATACGAAAATATTCAATATTGTCCCTGAGGTTGAACTAATGGAAAGACAACATTGAACATTTTTATATAGTCCATGGACTAAATTGAACATGTATCCAAAGTTTATGGTTCACATTGAACAAATTGAAAGTCCAGAGACTACACTGCACATTGTTGAACAAATTAAAACTTCGAGGATTACATTGCACATTATTCCAAAATTCATGGACCATTTGTGTAATTTTCCCAAACGGAAAAGAAAGAAGATAATGGTGGTTGGTAGGAAATGTATAAACATTTGCATGGCAGACTCTAAGTGTTGAGAGTATTTTGAAAGGCATGCGTCTCTGCATTTTCTTGCCTCGCATAGCTTGCAAAGTCTTCTTTTCTTCTCTTTTAACAGTGAGTTCATTCTATGCGCTTGATAACAACAAGAAAAAAGTGTTGAGTTTGATAGCATGAGATTGCAATATTCCTTTTTACCAAAGTTAATATTTATTTAATCTAATCTAATCTGATTTAATTTTTCAAGGCTTATCTGGCAAAAGCTCACTGCGAATTTGTTTTTGACCGGGTTAAATGTTTCTGTTCTGACGAATGGTTTTTGACCCTGCAATTAAGAATGACAAAAGTTTTTTATATGTCAACTAGCAATGTTTGGTAGGGGTGATTAGAAAAGAAAAGAAGAGATATAAATTGATTATTAGAGGAAAGTAGAGAAAAGATTTAAAATAACGTCGTTTGGATGCTAACAAGGGGAAAAGAAGAAAAAGAATGCAAGATGAGATAAATATCCTCTTATATATCTGCAATAGATATAAAATAAGGGTGTAAATGAGAAGAAAATGTTTGTTTGTTAATGCATGAATTCCACAAATCCCTCCTAATTTTGAATGGATTTGGTAGGATTTGAAAATTTACATTAAATGCAAATTAAGTTGCCAGTTCTCAATCCTTATGTGTGAAGGTGATGTGAGGCTGTAATTGATTAAGAACTCTTGAAAATCTATTGACCATCCCTCATTCTAAAAATCCTGCAAACTCATCCGACAGCAAGAAAGATGCATCAACTATGAAGGTTTTCTTCTGAAGAACCATATTGTTTTGTTGAACTTACCAGTCACAAACAGCAGGACAGTCTTGTTGAATTGTGTATGACTGCTGGAGACTGTTTTGAGAGATTAAACTGGTACAATAGACATATACATCGGACAGTTCTTGGACAATACTAAATTACTAATCTAGGTTACTTGTGTTCTTCATATATCATATTCCTGGGCCATGTGTTGAAAATCTAGATGTAGTCTTTCTACAGAGAGCCATTATTGTATGGTAACTTGTAGCAGTAAACTGTTGATATTGTCTCCACAGTCCTTTTTTTTTGGGTAGTCACACCAGCATATTTGAACTGATCATATTGCCCTTGGGTCATGCATGTATCAATTTTTGCTCAATTCTGGCATTCGTTCTGAGAGTCAAAAATGCGAAATCCTTCAAGCATTGAGTTGCTTTTTGTGTGCAGATTCAGGAATTTCTAGGAAAAGTTAAGATGATTATCCTCACTGGCCATTCCTTTGGAGCAACAACTGCCTCTCTCACTGCTCTTTGGCTCCTCTCCCATCTCCAGCCAGTCGCTGCTCCCATCTCAGTCCTCTGCCTCACATTCGGCACTCCCTTGCTCGGCAACAAGTCCCTTTCCCGAGCCATTCTCCGAGAAAGATGGGGTGGGAGCTTCTGTAACGTTGTCTCGAAGCTCGATGTAATGCCGAAACTGTTCTTCGCTCCATTAGCATCCTTGACTCCTCAACTGCACTTGCTGCTTCAGTTTTGGCAAGTTGCTACGGTTTCACCCAGTTTAGAACATCTTGTTGGAGAACTGCGAAAACAAAATTTCGATGAATTCTTCAGCAACGTCAAGGATCGTGTTGAAGATGCCGCAAAATCAGAAGGAGAGGCGAAGAACAGTTTGTTTTGGCCATTGGGAAGCTACCTATTCTGTTCAGAAGACGGAGCAATCTGTCTGGATAATGCAACGTCTGTTGTTAAGATGATGCATTTGATGCTCGAGACAGTCTCTCCAGCTTCCAGTTTTGAGGATCATCTGAAGTGTTTTGAGGATCATCTGAAGTATAGTTATTATACAGGACAACTTTCTTCGCAATTCCTGAAAAGGATAAACATCAACGGCCTCTCCGCATCAAGCTACGAAGCTGGTGTCTCCTTGGCATTACAATCCTCAGGAATAGATCCACAGGTAATTAAATGCTTCTCAAATCCACACGAGACACTGTCTTCTTGGATTCCTAATCCGACTCAAAAGTATAGTCTATCAATGCCCTTATTTTGTGGAAGTATTTTCTTGGAACAATCACTCTCTAATATGTGGGGCAGAACTCTCTCACTCTCTAATACAAGTGCACCCAGAATGATGTGAACTTATACTAAGATCTCTTTTTGGTAATCGCTGAATGATAAGTTCTTAGTCTTCACTTTGTGGGTTGTATCTTTTAATCACTGTGCAGGATGACAATATTTCAAGACCAGCTAAAAATTGCCTGCAGATGGCTCGGCACATGGGACATGCACCGAACCTGAACAATGCTCATCTAGCCATCAGACTATCTAAGATGACGCCCTGCAGGGCACAACTTGAGTGGTACAAGGCACGCTGCGAAGAGCCCGGGGATCAACTTGGGTACTATGACACGTTCAAGAAATTTGGAGCATCCAGGAGGGAGTCCAAAATCGACATGAACCTGTTCACACTCGCCGCATTCTGGGATGAAGTCATAGGCATGGCAGAACGGAATGAACTCTCGCACGATTTCCACCGCAGGTCCAAGTGGAACAATGCGTCCCATTTCTATATGCTCCTCGCTGAGCCATTGGAAATCGCTCGCTATTACCGTCGTGGTATGCACCTGGAGAAGGGACATTACATTAAGCATGGAAGGCACAGGAGATTCCAGATTTTGGACAGATGGTGGAGTCGAAGGACTGCTGCTGCAGCGCAAGAACCACAACAAATTAACAACAAAAGGAGTAGGAGCAGGTACGCGGGCTTGACTCAAGATTCTTTGTTTTGGGCGAAGGTGGAGGAAGCGACGGACTGGCTCAAGAATGCAAAAGAGGAAACGGACGCAAATAAGTTGAAACTTCTTTTGGTGAACTTGAATTATTTTGAGGAGTATGCGGGAAAGCTAATTGATAGGAAGGATGTGTCTATAGATGTTCTGGCTAAGAACTCAAGTTACAGATTATGGGATGACGAATGGAAAGCTTTGAAGTCGAAGTTCCCGCAGCCGCCACCTTCTGATCCTGCTCCGAGTCTAATGGATTGTGAATAAAGAAATATTTAATACACTCATCATTGTTTATGCCAGATCTTCATCTCTGGTGTAATTGTGTAATGCAGACAATACTTCTTGTAGACCAACCCGTAGCACTTGCTCAACACATGTTCAGGTGCTTCAGGTTGTACACAAGGTATGGGGGGGAAGAGAAACATCATTTTTGTTTGTTTTGTAGTAAAGTGTATTAACCTGCACAATAAGGAACTGTCAAACGGGGAAGCTCCCATTTATTGCAGCAACAGGGCACATTACAGTTCGAATTTTATTCTACTGGGCCATCGCCAACTACTGGAATTCTATTGGTCCATGCCAAAATGTCTTTGTATTATTTTCGCATTGGTAGGTGCCAAAATAGAATGACCGATGACCCTTTTTTCTAGGTAACTCGTTAGTAACTTATCAAATTACCTACTTTTCGCTCATAGTTTGCAAATTAAATAACTTACCAATTCTTCGAATTCACTGAGCTAAATTAAGAGCGACTTATCGACTTTTGTCATGTTAAATAAAAGGCGAACAAGTGGGAAATATATGCGGTCACCATTTACCTTTTCTATAATATGAGTATAAATTATATATACAGATAGATATAGATATGCATGCTAAATTTTGAGTGTATTCTTGTAATAGAGTTGGATCTGAATATTGAAGGATGGAAAGCCAAGGAACGTGGCCTTATGTGAATGGCCTATATTGATGCGGTCGACGATGCGCTCAATGCGTCTTCCTCTCTCTCTTTGAAAAACTCCGACTCTTCTTCTTCTTCTTCGCGAGCAAACCTCCGTTAATCTCTCCAATGGCGATCACCCTCCTCCGTTCACCTCCTCATCCCTCCTTCCTTCACGTAACTCTCTCTCTGTCTCTGTGAATAAAGACTTACGTTGTTCAACGGATCATTTGGGTTTTTCTGGGTCACTCTGTTTTCGGTCTATCGTCTTCGCATTCGCGGAAAAATCTCGTCTTTTAGCTGTGGATTCGCAATTTGGCATCGTTTGTCGGTCCTTCGATTGATCGTTCACATTTTGGCTGCACAGGCTTTCGCGGGCTTGAGGCAAATGCTGGGAGGTAGAATTGCCGGCAAGTGTTTTTCGTGTTTTCGGTACCAGTTTTAAGTTATTTTGTCGTGAAATTGATGGCATTGGATTGACCCTGTTGCGCTCATGAGCGGTTTTTACGGGTTTTGTAGAGGCTCTGTGTGATTACAATAAGGTTTCCAACCTTTGTTTGAGAGCTGGGAGAGTCATTTTCACGAGGTCGGTTCGGATAAATGCCCGCATATCGGTCCCTGGGGTTTCTTCGGGGAATCCGGAGAAAGCACCTCCCAAATTCTTGAGGGACAAGAAGATGGTGCCTGATTCAGATCCTCCGAGCCTTAAGGATACTGACCGTTTGCATCAGCTTTTTGAATCAAGGTCCAATCTAGATTTCTTTTACCCTTTGCCTGCGATGACTTCTTACTTTGTAGTTGTGTTCCAAAGTGTCTTGTTTCTTTGTGAGACGTATGTTCCATGACTAAATTCATGTTGCTTATGTTTGTCTAAAATTGGCTGGCGCTGGCAGTACGAAGCTTGTGGTTTTGACTGGAGCTGGGATGAGCACGGAGTGCGGTATTCCCGATTATAGAAGGTTCTTTAGTTGTGCTTAGAATCATATTTTACATTTATTGTACATTTCAAAGGATAGACATCACTGATGGGTGGAAATATTTCATTTTGGAGATATTTGAGATATAACAGCCACTCTTCTAGTTAATTTGTTCTAAACTAATTATATCAGGGAGGTTTTGAGTATGCTTTCATGGCTATTCTGTATCTTTTAATTTGGATAAGTGACTGATAAGAACTGGAAGAGAGATCTTGCTGTGATGCTGCATCATTTTTCATGCCTAACACTAATCTTCAAGTTCTGCACTTTGCTTAACCTTGTAGTATATATGTATTTTCAGCATATGTGGTCGAGTTTGTATGATTGCACTCTCATGTTAAGCTTTCATGTCGAATGTGATAATTTGTAATTTTGTCTCCACTGTATTTATGTTGACTGGTTCTTACATAGCTAAGACAAACCCTCTAACTTTTATTTGTTTATGCAGTCCAAATGGGGCTTATAGCACTGGTTTCAAACCAATTACCCATCAGGTGATCTGAAGGCACGTGCTGGGATTTGCAGCTTCCCTGATTCTCTTTTTTTTCTTTTTCTTTTTTTTTTTGGTTTGCTGATTTCATTATGTAAATAGCAACACTCTGCTTATTATGAAGAGATGAAATAAATATGCTGGGACAGTTCAATCGGAAAGCAAGTTATGGAGGATATATTTGAATTTGAAGGGTGTTCTAGTACATATATACAAATTTTGGATAAGGAAGAGGCAGAAATGAAATAGGTGGCAAGAATTGGAAGCAAACTCATTTAATTGAAAGAGCATTTTCCATAGGGAACATTTTTGTCACGTGAATGTCTTTGGGATACTCCAATTAGAATGTGTCTATGGAAGTAGCTTAAAATCATTTGTGGTCCTGCCTAAAAAAATAAGGGAGGACATTCAAGGAAGTATGTTGGATTTGTGGTTCTTATAAATGATATGAAACTATGGAAAGTACAAAAATGTTCTGTAATTAGCTGACTTTGTTTCTGGAGAAGATTTGTTGTCGGTTCTTGCTTAAATAAGATCTTTTCAGTTTCTTCTCGGGGCTTCTCTGTTGTTTTCATCTTTTTAAGTGTCTAACCATGCCTAAGATTATTTGTGTCTCTCATTTTTTGACTTTAATTCCATGACAATTCATTAGGAGTTTGTTCGTTCTAAACGGGCCCGAAGGCGATATTGGGCAAGGAGCTATGCTGGATGGAGAAGGTTTACCGCAGCACAGCCTAGTGCAGCTCATTATGCCCTTGCGTCACTAGAAAAGGCTGGTCGAATAAATTTTATGATTACCCAAAATGTTGACAGGTAACTGGGTGTGGAAATTTTATGACATTTTCAAAAATTGGAGGATAAAATTGGATACTAATAATTCTTCTGAACTTATTTCAGATTGCACCATCGTGCTGGTAGCAATCCACTGGAAATTCATGGGACTGTGTACACTGCAATATGTATAGATTGTGGATTTTCTTTTTGCCGGAATTTGTTTCAAGAAGAGGTGAAGGCTCTCAACCCAAAGGTTGGCTCTTCGAACTTACTTTTTCTAGTGCTATTCCATTTTCTCCCTTTCTGCTGAATTCAAACCCAACACATTCATAAGGTTCCACCATGATTTCCCTTTCTTTTTAACCGGTATGTCTGCAAGGAGGTTAATGGATGAAATTATGCGAAAATTATAGTTTAGTTGATAATTCAAATGGTCAGTAACTGAGCTGAGGTGATCGTTTTGCTGTAGTGGGCAGCTGCAATAGAAAGTTTGGATTATGGAAACCCTGGTTCAGACAAGAGCTTTGGTATGAAGCAGAGGCCCGATGGTGACATTGAGATAGATGAGAAATTCTGGGAGGAAGATTTTAGCATCCCTACTTGCCAAAAATGTGGTGGGGTGCTCAAACCAGATGTAAGGATCTTTCGTCTACATTTTACATTTTTCTTTTGTAGCATTTCTGAGGTAATTAGCTCCTTAATGTTTTATTGAAGGTCAAGTATGTCTTCTTACTTACGTCTATACTATTTGAAAAAGGAAATTGACAATCTATCACCACGGTCCAAGTATCTTTACAAAAGCAAATTAATAGGCTCTTTCCCACTTTTCTTGGAAAATTGCTCCTTGGGGTCATATCTAGGAATGGAAGGATTTAATATGGAATAGCCATGGTCCTTCGATGTTTCTTCCCATTTCTTGTCCCTATGTAGGTTTTACTCCTTTACTGAGGTTTACTTTGCACCACCAAAAAAAAAAGGAAAAGAGATTTTTAAATGTGCTTGTTTCACCATTTTCAAGATGATTTACTGGCATTCGATGTGCGGATGGACCTCTTCTATTGTTTCAAAAGTAGGAGTAAACAGAGAAGTAAAAGTTTTCGTGGCATCTCAGAGCTATCAGTGTGCTATGGTAGGAAGAATATTATCTATGAGAAGTTTGGACGCACTTTGTAGTTGGACTAAAGTGTGTATCTGATACTTAGCAGTACTTTATTGGGACCTGCATCGTGCATTGATTTGGTATTCTGAGAAAGAGTAGGATTTAAGAATTCTATCTAATTCCCATGTTTTCTGCTCAGAGGAGAAAACTCCTGTTTAAATTATCTTTCTTACTTTGTCTATGGTCTTATTTGCTTGCTTTTCCTTGAAGGTTGTATTTTTTGGTGATAACGTGCCAAAAGATAGGGCTGACAGAGCCATGGAAGCTGCTAAGGAGTGCGATGCTTTTCTGGTCTTAGGATCCTCTTTGATGACAATGTCTGCTTACCGCCTCATTAAGTATGTTTTTTGTGCCTATATTCCATGATTCAGATAATTACCTTTTCCCAGGCAGTATTTTTTTATGATTGAGTGGTGAAGAACACCATAAGGTCTTCTTGCTTTATCTAGTCATCAGATATTGCTGAGGATGTTGTGCAGGCTGAATATCGTGAATCTGGTGATGAATCTAATGGCACTTTCTCATTGTTGCTACTTGACTAAACTGTGCAGATGATCATATATTCAGGTCCTAATAGTGCTGATAATTCTTGTTGTGGATTGTGGGGACACTGACTGGCCCAACCTGTCATGTTATTTTCCCTGTTTAGCCTTTTATTTTGGGGCTTGTCTTGTTCTCTTTACGGACATGCATCCTGCAGTGCTTGCTTATTTTCTTTTTCTACTCCTTGTTAGGTGTATTTGGGCTCTGTTTTCCAACTGATATGCATGTTTTGTCAAGAATCTTGCTTCCTTTTCAGTTGTGTCCCTGGCAATAGGAAAGATCCAATTTGATTATTTCCTAATTCTGTGGCTTAAGCAGAGTTTTCTTTGGCTAATCAAATGTTCCCCTTCCCCTCCAATGATAAACAAAAGAAAGCAAGAAGTAATAGTTATAGTCATGGTGTTATCTTCCAATGCGAAATGTTCAAATAGTAATTTATATCTTCATGTGTGACAGAGCTGCTCATGAGGCAGGAGCTGCCACTGCAATTGTTAATATAGGCGTGACACGGGCAGATGATTTGGTTCCTTTGAAAATTAACGCCCGATTGGGAGAGGTAAGCAATTTTTCAACGTGTTACAAATCTAACACTTCATAACATTACTATGCCGGTTTTGCTGATGTTTCCATACTTTTCTTTCTTGTAGATACTCCCCAGAGTGCTTCATACAGGATCTCTCAGCATCCCTGCTGTTCAATGACAAGAAGAAGGTATTGTTTAGCTAACTAGAAAGGACCATGTCTTTGCTGAATCTGATTTAGATCTGTAATTGGAGCCCCTTGCAAAGATTAAGCTAAACACTTGAGCAAATCTTTAGTGTTGCCTCAGTTATTAAGCCCCATGAAACAAGTCTTGCCTTAAAAGTGAGATTTACCTGGGTTTGAAGTTGCCTGTAGTAATCAATGACGGTGTATGAAATAGGGAAGACAGCTTTGCTGATGCCTATCTTTGTTGTTCTATTATACATAAATCATGACATTGTTGAAAGAAGTTTTTTCATCTTGGACGAGTGCCATGAAGAGATGGTGTCTTGGCATATCTCTAAGGAAGTAAAGTAAAACAGTGTCTTCTGACCAAAAAAAAAAAAGTGTAAAACGGTGTCTTGATACATGATACATGCAATGTTATTGACATCACGAGCTTAAGATGAAAATGTGAAACAATTAGAAATGCATTCAAAATCGAAGTCTCTAGGATAATTGTGTAATCCCTGACAGGTCATGAACACAAATATTCGTTGAAGATGAGCAGATCTCACAAATTTTGTTTTCTTTTTTCTAAGAATGTCGGTTTCAACACGAGGCAAAATAAAGAGTCTTAGGAAAAGAACTACTCCACAATGCTAATATGTAAAGAGAGCCCCTTCGATCTTATGAACCCTCTAATAAGCCTACTACTGAAAGTGAATTCGATAAAACTTGAATGCACGGATAAAACAGAAGCATTGCTTGATGCTCAATTCCTTTTCAACAGCATTCGTGTCATCACATTTCGTGACCTTGTCAATGACTATTTTGCAGGAGGCCAACAAGGGAAGTGCAAGCCACGTGGCAGTGTCTCTGTATGTTTCGTCATGAGTGCCCAGTATAATACTTCTTTGAAGTCAAGTCTGTCCAACGTAGTTGGCATTTGATACAAGGACACATAAAGCTCAGATGCCATTCATCTGTCTTATTGTTCATCTGTCTTCTCAAATGGTGAAGTTGGATGCTGACGTGCAGATGTTCATGTAAACCGTAACGATATCCTGGATGGTTCTTTCCAACAAATTAGTTTGAAGCTCATGGAGATGGTGAGACTAATTGGGGGTCTCAACAGGGTGAAATATCTCTTCTTGTATAGCCAGTCACATACCTTAGCAGTGATTTTACACTTGGGTGATCACATATAGAGCAATTTTATGTGTTTGTTGTCATCTGTTTGGATTCGTGTGTTTTAATGTCAACCAGTTATATTGGTGTTGTTTTGTCAGCCGTCCATGTCCGTGTCCGTGAAAACCGTGAAAACTTAGTCTGTGTCGGCCATTGGATCATGCACAGCAAAATTGCCTTGCTTCGGGCCCCTAGAGCGTAGCAAAGGCACATATCACTCAAAACTCACAAACCTGTCTCCTCCGCCCAAAACCGAAACAGGTAACGGCTTGTTTCGAGAAAATACATTAAGCCACCATCGCATCGTGCTCACTAATATGGATATAAAATCGTTTCCGAATAGAACTCTGGACGGAGCCACGAGGGGAGACCCATTTTCCCAAACAAAATCCTTCGACTAAATCAGAGCACAAAAGAGTTCCTTTTAACCAAAATGTATATTTGCCGATAGGTGTATTTGGCAGCTTAATCATGCTCTCTTCAAGAAGCTTAAAAGTACATAGACTCTACGTCCCGAGTTCTATATATAGAGCTAAGAGAATCACAACTGAATACACAACATTGTACATGTCGGCCGACCCCAGTTCACTCCAGCCACAAAGCAAAATGAGCTGCAGGTTGATTCAGCAAAAACAGCAGCCAACAAGATTGGTCACTAGCTCCTATGCGTCCGCCAATGCCTTGTCGATTTCAGGCATGTACTTCACAAGTTTATTCCACTGCACAAGCATGAAACCAATGTGATGCCGTTGGTTTGAACCAACTGTTCAAATTTCAAGTACTAGTAGCACGCAGAACCAAGAGTTTACCTGATCTATGGGGAGTGAAATACCTGGACAAAGACCAAATCAACAGATATAGAAACCATTAAGAGAGATCATACTAATTGAAGGAATAAGAAAAAGGTCTGCCAGAGTATTATGCCATGGCAATAGTACAATAGCACAACACCACCAAATGCAACAATGACTTAGAATGCTGGGAACAGTTATACTCCAAATGGTTGATTCGGTAAGGCAAAAAGCAAGGCGAACTTAACAAGTTGCATACATGTACGGGAACAGAGCAACATTACAGAAACTTTCAGTGCTATTGGACGATGAAGTATTCATCGGCTACTGAAATCAAAGATGCTGATCTCTATTGAGATACAATTTCGCGAGAAACAGGCAAAGCACACATAAAGTAGCAATTTCCAAAACCCAGTCTACCATCCACTAAGCTCCCCTCAGGTCCATGAAGGAAAGCCAAATGGCAAGGGAGCAACAAGCTAATCAAATGTACACCTTGAACTAGCATGCACTCTAAAAGATTGGATAAGTTTTTCAGTTTAATCGATTTCAGTACTTTAGGCGCATAAAGAGAGAAGGCCCCGGCCAAGACTTCAAGATTACCATGATGCTCCCAAAATCATTGTGGAGTTTAAACTTTCATCTAACCCGCTGTACTCACCATGATACCGCTAAACAAAGTTCAATACACTCAGCCCGGTTGCAATGCTTCCGACATTTCATCTAAGATCAAAGACAAAAGCCCCTCCACAAGATGCCGGGAAAAGCGTTCTTGAAATCAAATCGAGAAAATGGCATCAGAACCAGACACCTAACCCAATTCCCACCACTCTCACACAAGATCCCACCGATGATCTCGCCTTTCTATGCCTCCGAAGCTCAACAGACAGCCCACCCGCAAACCACAACGACAAACAGACCCACATCAAACAAGGATTTCAGGAATGCAACACAACATGAGAGAGAGCATCCAAGTCCAGAAAGATCACATGCAGCTGCCTAAATTTTCACACTGCCGAGAGCAAGCAAGCAAGCAAAGCAACTCACTGAAGACACCAAACACACAAACTCTAGGGAGAGAAAGAGAGAGACCCTTTTTGCCAGGAAGACTCTTGCCGTCCTTGACGTAGAACTCGCGAACGTCGACCACGACCTGGCCGTGCCAGCTCCTGACGGTGACCCTCCTGTTCCTCGACAGCTGCACCGACACAAACAAGCAGAAAACCCCACCACCTTTCAAAACTCAAAACCCTAGGATCGCACAAGCCCTACCCTACAGCACGCACGCGATTCGCACGAAAGCCTAACGAAACCGGGGGAACCTCGCAGGCGACGATGTCGCCGGAATCATCGGAGTCCTGCCGCGCGGCCTTCCTGGGAGGCGGCGCCGCCTCCGCCTGGCCGTCCGAGCCGCCGTCGGAGGCGTAACCGTCGTCCTTCCTCTTCCCTTTCTGCGACATCCTCCCTTAGTCCCTACCACTTTCACTCCTCCCAGTCACAGAGCCTCGCTCTCTCTTTGGTATTCTTTCCCAAACGAAAATTATCAATCAATTTAAAAGAGACTGCTTTCCCAATTAGTCACTTTTACGTAGATACTAGGACAGTGCTAACCGGACCGGTCCTACCCGAGAAGCGAACCGGACCAGACCGGACCGCCCTCGCTAAGAAGATTCGGGTGTCATTTGTTTGAGTGAAAGAATCTACCACGGGATTAATTTTCCAGACTTTCATGCGTCGGGTTCGTTCTAAAAATGATCAGCTAACGAAATATCATTTAATGTCCAAGAAAATACCCGCTTTAATAAGGGAAAATGAGTTTCCGAACCTGAAAAGGTGAAAATATTTTTCTTGAAACAAACACACCAGATCAAATTTAGAAGCTCTTCTCTTTCTATCCAGATAATGTGATCATCTAATTGTTGAATAATATTATCCATCAAACATTATTTTTAAGGTGTCTCATAAACTGAAAACCATATTTCCAAGCTATATCCATCACAGGATATAAATTCACATTCCAGGGCTCCTTGCATCATGGTACTTGGTGAGTTACATCTTTACAAGATTTACACATATCATCACAGATCCCAATGCAAACCCGTGCCGACCGCAGAGCTCTCCGAGCCCGAAAGCTTCGAGTACATGAGGCCGGAATGTCTCGACAGGATGAGGCGCACGACGTTCTCGGCTGCGACGGCGCTCGTCTCCATCGTGCTCGCGGCGTTCTCAAAGGCGTTGACGTAGTACAAATCCTGTCCGTCCAGAATGAAAGGGGCAAACGCTTCAGGAGCCTCGTAATGGGGGTAAGCGCCCCAGTTGATGCGGATCGTCTCCTTCCGGACACTGGAAACAGCAATATCGATGATTAGCATTTGCCCGTCGGGTCTACATTGTCATTGAGTCCATAAAGATGCTGTGTTTTCTTATTCACTATCTACGGCGTAGTCTTGCGCGACAGTGTATTCCTTCCAATACAAGGCAGTGCATCGACACTCTTTTCGAACACTTCCTAGGCCTTACGATAAGTCATTTCTGACTGAAGGGCCGAGGAGTAACTCCATCTAAGCAATGAACAGGAGATTTTTGTATATGTGAGGTTACTCTTGGCCTCTTAAACATGAGATCATCTATGGAAACGACCTCGAGAATTTATCGCCTAGTAGAGGATCTTTGCATAGATGATAGATCCGACAATCTCTCAGCAAACAAAGCAAGCACATCCACTAAGTGGAACAAAGAATATATATATAAGAACACTAAAACATGTTACCTGAATATCTGATCCAGCAGTGTGTCTACCATGGCTTCGCGGGAGAAAACCTTGTAAGTCACCTCCTTTTCGTTGTATCGCTTGAGAACCGAAATGCTCGAGAATGGAACACCAGGATCCTCGATTGTACCAACGAGTTCTGGAATTTCTTCCACAGAGCCCAGCCCAAAGTACGCCTTTTGCATACAACAGCATTCCCGATTAAAAGACACAAAAAGGAAAGTAGAAACATGATAAATGACTAAAACAAGACATGACGAGAAAAGATCTAAATAGATGATTGAGACAGAAACAAGCAAAATACTCACAGGGTTTAGAAGACCCCTCACGAAAGTCGCATGCGTATGCTGTAGCTTCCTCGGAGGAATTGTAACTGGAGGGTCAAAGTTTATGTCCACCTCATCCAATGGTGTGGCGACCACTGCAACCTCGCACTTGTAACTGTTCCCTTCAGAGGAGTTGAGCTCGTAATAGTTTCCAAGATTAGAAATAGACTCTATCTCCTCACGAAGGTGCAGATCGACGTTCGAATGATTGAGTAAACCAGAAGCCATCTGCCAGTTTCCTCCTTGGACGGACCATAAGCCACCCCCTGATCCTGCCAAGGAAACAGCGCCAGCCAGTCCGCTGATGCTTACACTTTGACCATAATTAACCCTTGTGATGACCTAAAGCATACCATTGCTAGATAGTTCAAAATATGAATAATAAGAAATTATGAAGAACAAAATAGATGATCAACTGGGACACTAAGTTTGACACATCGGGTTTTAATCGGACATAAGTTCTCTACTTCATGAGGAGCTAACTAAATATTATATTTCCATATTCTCCCTGAGTTCATTCCATCTTATAAGCGATCCACATTCTGATACATTTAGTTTACGATGGCAATTACATGAAGCATCCAGCATATATGTTCACTCAAAACTTGAACGCATCATGTATGTTCTCCAAGCAACGTACTGTGGGCTATGCTAATCTGAAAATTTTACATTCTTTCTTTCTTTTCTAGTTCAACTGACCCACCTCGGCTTCAAATTTTCTGATTGATCAAAGACTATCTCACATGCAACAATATGATGGTTATCTTGGTAATTGATGAAGACTATAGCAAGAGAAGTAAGGGCTATTAGCAATACTGGTAATAAAAAACTCGTACAGAAACCAAAAATCAAATGATATTCCAATTTCTTTTTTTTTCTTTTTTTTCTTTTTTTTTGATAACCCAGGAACCCCCCGCACGGCCGACAGCCGGAGGGGTAAACCTGGGGTGACGCTAGCGCAGGACCCACCACCACGGCGCCACACTTAAGAATCCCTAACGACTACGCTGGGGTTCGAACTCCGATCCCTTCGTGGGGGGACAAGAGCGCAAGCCAACGCAGCCGCTGCGGGCGGTGGTTGTGATATTCCAATTTCTTCATAGCTTCAAAACCCAACTATTAGAAACAGCTACATATTCTTCCACCAATGAAAATATTGATGTCAAGTTTCGCACATAAATAGCAGAAAGGCTATATTTGCTAAGATTTAAAAATGGTAATATCAAATTCCCCAGAAAGCAAAATGGACAGGCCATGCAGGAAACCATTTTTCTTTTATACATGAAAGTTTTTTTTTTTTTTTGGTCAAATGAAAGTTGAAATGTGACAGTTGGAAATAGCTTCAAAGTTATATAATCAGGCACTCAAAACCCTCATACGTGTGAGACTCAGGGGTTGGAGAGTTTAATATACTCTAGTATGTGCATAAAAAGGTGAATAGAATGATAAATCCCACAAGAGTTCATATATTAGCCGTTGAAACAGAACATAATGTCTGGAACATCCGGTGCACATAACATAATTTAGCATCAAAAGAATCGGGCCTACAAAAGCGTGTACCTAGACCTGCAGGGATGCTCCAAAGCATGCATCTAGCAGACCACTACTAAAGTAGAGCTGCGTCAAGTCAAGAGTCACGTCAAATCTCGAATCTCATTTCAGAACATCACAATAATCAAAGTTAGTCTACCTAGCAGTCACTCAACCTCTTTGACAAGAAGTACAATAATTTATGCTCTATCCTTGAGAGACATCCTATTTCTATTCACACTAGCCAAGTTCTCAGTACAGACTTAGGCTGCAGTCACTTCACAAAGCCTTTGCCACTCACAGTCGAACTTTCTTCAAGCCAGAAACCTAGGAGTATCTCCCAAGAGCTAGGATGATAACAATTTAAAATATCTCTCAACACATCCAAAAACCACCCCAACTTCCCTCACCCTCCCCAGGCCAGATGGCCATCCAGAAGGAGAGGAAAAAACAAAGAAAAGACTAGGAGCTCTCTCAAACTTGTTATCATCGTCTACCAGTAAATCTCTATGCCTTCCATCAAACGTTTGAAATACCATAGGTTATCATTGGCATTCATGACACCCTTCCGTGCATTTTTTCCACTGCAAACTAGGCCAATTTTCCTTTCGCTGAGTAATGATCTAATTATACAGGTGGGTAATCTAACAAGCCCATTACACAATCTAGAAACACTCTTATTCACCCACTAATGGCCTGGCCTTCCATGAGGCAGCCACTACACCAACATTTGTTCTCTATCTACATGAACAAGCACATACTTTTGGTTGTAGGTTATTCAATGCTTTTTTTGTTCTCTTATGAGTAGAGAAGATTCACAGCATCTCCGTACAACGTATTGGTTCAGGAAATAGATATATGATAATTAACACCATTACAACACTAGTGTTCAGTAGGTCATTAGAACTTGCATTGCGTTCAAGTAAAGGCATCCATAGGATGAACAAAATTTGAAGTAAGTTGCTAGCCAGATCTCAAGCAGATAGTTACATAATATTGAAGGGAAAGCTCTGCACTATCAATATAAATCAATTGCGAAATTTACGAGAATTCTTACAGTGATGAGTTCCCTTATCAGCAAGGGAGACAACCCAATACTGATTAACTCCTCCTCTAAAGTATGCCCGGTAAGATTGTAGAGCCCTGCCCATTTGAGCATATCGTCCACCGTCTCAAAAACGGGCCTCGAGTCGGTGCTTTCATAGTACTTCAAGAAGTTATTCACAGTCCTCTGCAACATGGAGATGTAGCCATTTTCACGAGTCACAGAGAAAACAACATCATTATGCAAATTGACTAAACCAGACACTCAAGAAAAATCAACCTATCATTCAATTTCACATTACTTCTCCATTCAAACGCTCTGTTCAAAATGGACAGACGAAATTGATTGAGACAGAGAGAAAGAAACCTGAACGAAGTTGTCCATGCGAATGAGAGAAAACCCATAACGCCAGAACAAGATCGCCGTGTTGGCAAACGACACAATCTTGTCGACGAACGGAAGCTTGGAGTTGACCCTCCATGTCTTGAACACGAAGCTCTTCCCATCCCAGATCCCAAAATCGCCATCATCGTCGCGGCCGTCGCTGGCCGACGTGGCATTCGGCCATCTCATCTTCAAGCCGATCAATTTGGTGTAATTCAAGGCGTGGTAGTTCTTGGGGTGGAGGATCGACCCGCCGGCCTCGAAGCTGTCCCCGCCCACGTTGACCCTCGCCATGCGACCCCCAACGACGCCGTGCCGCTCGAAGACGCGGATGGAGATGGAGGCGGAGGGGGAGGAGTACTCCCGGAGGAAGTGGGCCACCGAGGAGCCGCCGATTCCGCTTCCGACGATGCAAACCCAGAGGGACGACGGCGACGACGACGGCGTGATGGTCGGGAGCGAAAGGAGTAGGATGAAGAGTGTGGCGATGCGGGCGGCCATGTTGGCTGCTTGTCGAGATTTTCACTTCTCTTGCAGCCTCTTCTTCTTCAAGAATGGTTTGAGCTTTCGTTTTCCAAGAATTCTTGGGAGAAGACTTCGGAGTTTTGGGGTGATGGAGGAGACAAGAGACTCATGGGTGGTTGAGGGGTCCCGTTGACATCGTGGGTCGAAGAAAGTCTGCTCCGAAAGCCACTGACGCCATGGCTATGCAAAGGTTTTGCGGGGTTGCCGTATGGTTTGGTCCCAGAAAATCAACTCCGGACGCCGTGGCTTCGCAATGCTTAAGAAGCAGCGGTCTTCTTACGACCAGAAACTACTGGGAGGGATCGGTTCTCGATCCGGTTCCCGGACAAAATTAGAAAACGGTGACCGGACGGGTTGGTCATGAAATCAGGAACTGGCGCCCCCAGCCCAACGGATTCGGTCACTTTTCTTTTTTCTCGTTACTTGACGTCATCTTTTCGTATCGAATTAAGTAATATATATACAATGATCCTCAAATTAAAGAAACAAATAAAAAAACGTGCTTCAATTTTTACTAACTTTTTTGAAGAAATAACAAAATAAAAAAGTTATATGTAGTCGGTACAGTCCGGTTCCCTTTGGAACCAGTAACCGGACCACCCGGCGATTTCACTTTTATGAACCCAGAACTAGACCGACATTCTCGGAAACCGGATGAAACCAGCCAGTCCGTTCCGATCTGAACGGTTCCCGATTTGGGTGGTCCGTCTAGCACACCACTAGAAACTACACATGATATACATGTACAATAGGGGCCTGTTTAGTAACGTTTCAGTTTTTTTGTTTTTATGTTCTTTTGTTCCCCGGAACAGAAAAAGAACAGAAATCCGCTTAGTAAAAAAAATCTACTTTTTTATTTCTGGAACAAAAAAGTGATCTTGGAATAGATTTGGAACAGAAACAAGAAGAAAAAAAAATCTACTTCTTTGTTTCTTGAACAAAAACAAGAAACGATTTTTTCTGGAATCCTCCAAAAACAAAGAAACAATCAATCGGCCGCAACCCACCCATTGCCGCCTCTCGCCGTCCTTCGCCGCCACCTACCGCCCGCCTTCCGCCGGCACCCGCCGACCACCTCTTGTCGTCGACCACTGTCCTCCGCCGCTCGACGCTTGTCGCCACTCGCCACCGGCCGCCGTCCTCCACCGCTGGCCGCCGTGCTCCATCGCCCGACGCCGGCTGTCAAGCCCCGAACTCCTTGGTACGCGAGCATCCCACCTTCGGTCGATTATGGTGCAACGCTCCCAGGACGCGTCGTCGATCCAACACCCAAACAGAGATAAGGCACATGCGAAAACAATAAACAAACACCCGTACAATATAAACATATGAGACCAAAGATAGTACAACAACCAAGCAGGAATATAATTACTAATATATACATTTTCTTTTCTACGAGGAAACCTTTTTACAATATCCATTTAAACAGTAAAAACATACAACCCAAAAGCAGTCAACAGCCACCAGATCAAAAAGGAGCAAGTGGCTAGGGAGAGGTTAGGCCAGCTACAAGGAAGATCACAGTCAAAAAGGTACGAACTTCCTAACTAAGGGCTAAGACCTATACTAGGGCTCCCAATCAGGGTCTGAAGACTCCGAAGAACCATCCGACAGCTCCTCCGAAGAACTCTCGGGAGGCTCAGACTCCTCTGACTCCATATCCTGTGCTGCAGCCCACTCGTCCTCTGAATCCGGCTCCAACTCCGGGTCTAGGTATAGTCCTATCTCGCCTATCTCCTCATCCAAACCTAAATCTGCAACTTCCCCGTCCTCATCCGAATCTAGGTCCATGGCCTCTAATATCTCCTCCTCTTCGTCTGTGAACTTATCAGGGTCTTCCACTGTCACCTGCGACTCCTCATCCATCACCTCATCCTAGACATCCAAATCATGATCATCCTGGGGGTCGATCACCTCACCGTCAGCAACAACAGGCGCCATCAAACCATTCTCATCAAGTGGGGCATCGAAGGTCTTGAGAGGTCTGCCTATGTTCCCGTCAGTGTCTCGAAGGCACCAAGCAACGTATTCTTGAGTCTGATAGAAATACTCGCCCACATTAACAAAAACCACGGATCGATACCTAATATACGCTTCTCCATTACCAAAGGGAAAAACGCTGGTCGACTGCTGGATCCGCGTCGGGATCCCAAAAAGTACTGGTAGCTCCGGCATGGTCAGGAATGAGGGTCTGAAAGTTTGGGTTATACAACAATGAGAACACGTCTCAATGAGTAAAACCCCCTAAACCTAGGCTAGGCTAACATACATCTTCTGACAGACAAACCAACACAATCCACAAACACTAACCTAGGCCCTTGGGCCCAGATCGATAATCATGCAGACCCTGCAGGTTAAACAGTTAGATATATAACAACCACGGCACAAACGTGGCACGCATAGTCACACGTACGCCATACGCATGGTCATGCTCAACAGTGTTTGCTTCGCATGCCAATCACCAAGTCTCACACGTTCGCACACTAGCCCATGCATTCTTATGCATGCAAATGACCTCAACATGCCATGATTCATTCTGGTTCACACTGCACACTGGCTCAATGCTCAATTTATTAATTCATTACGACCCGGGAAACGCATCGGGTCCAGTGTCTATAGCCTGCTACAAAGTGCATGAGGCGCAACACTGTTCTCATCACAACACTTCGCGGCCTGCGTAAAAACGCATTCTCTCAGCCCAGTGTCTCTAGCCTGCTACAAAGTGCATGAGGCGCAACACCGATCTCCTTACGAACCAGAGCCTGCTACAAAGTGCATGAGGTTGGTCGTCATCCGGACGTACCGGGTATCGTCCTACTACAAAGTGCATGAGGATGGCACACCCCGCGTAACATGCATCAGGGCGAAATGTGATCACACATATACACAGCCAGTTATTATCTGAACCCCGCGTAACACGCATTAGGGCGATTAGGTGATCACATGCTCATGTCAGGCACGCATTCTCGCAAAACCTCAATTCATGCCTCATTCTCGGCATACAATGCGTGGCCATGCAATGCAATACAATACAATATGAGCATCACATATCTCACTCAGGTATTCCATCAATTCATGTCGCTATAACGTACTCAACTGGCCAATTTAATATCGTGCGGCCCAAAGCACAATTCAACAGTTGGAGAAGTAATTCAAACCGTCAATTGACCCATCACACTCCACACAATTTGGTCACATAAACACACGACATGGCAATACCCGATTTACTATAGTTGAGCACAACAATCAAGAATTCAGTCAACCCGGGCATACCCGGCTGTTCAGTCACATAAACCTCAATTTGTCCATTTTAGCCCGATAAATCACCAAGTGGACCGCCACTATTAATTCCAACATTGGCCTCCAAATCACCACTAGATCACCACGATAATTCACCAAATTATTCACAATCTCATCCTCGAACCACCAGTATCAAATTCCCCTCAAATCGTACCAGTATAATCTAAACAGTGTCCGTCTAAAAATGTACACCGTCCTAGACCGGGTTTAGAAAGTTATACTCACCTAATTCTAAACTAGGACGACGAGAACGGGCGGCCAATTTCCGATGAATGGCGAATCGGCGGCGGCGGCGCGGCTCACGGTGGCGGGAGGCGACGGTACGGACGGCGGCCGAAGGTGGCGAAGACGGTGATGGCGAGATGGTGGAGGAAAAAGTGGTTCGGTGAGGTTGGGTGGCGGCGGAACCAGGCGGACGGTACAGCGGCGCACGGCGCGGCTCCCCGGCGGGCGACGACGTACGGCGGCCGAGAGGAAAAAGAGAACGGAGGAGAGAGAGAGAAGGAGAGGGAACGGACGGGATGGTGGTGCTGGTGAGGTGGGGGTGACGGAACAAGGCCAGGCGGAGCAGCGGCACCGGCGGACGGCGGCGGCTTACTCCGGCGATGCTTGGCCGAGAGAGGGAGAGAGATCGTGAGGGAGAGGGAGGTGGCCGGGAGAGGAGAGAGAAGGTGGAGGGAAAAATGAGGAGAGAGAGAGGGGTCAACATGGTCAAATATTGGGGCCTAAGGGGGATACTTGTCAAAATTCTAAGCTAATACCCAAAATATCCCTAATCTAATGGCCCTAATTCAACCCTATCCAATAATTGAGGGGTAAAATAGTAAATGGGTCCAATAATTGAGCTGAAATTATAATTTAATTAATTCCCAATCTCCAGTCCAAAATTCGGAATACCCAGCACCGGGTCCCGGGGCAAAATGGTCATTTTTCTGGCCCCGGGTCGAAATTCCATTTTTCGACTGTACCAACCTAAAATGTGTGTGGCTAACATAATATGACGTCGGATTCTCAAAAATAGTCTCTTAAGCCCTCGAAAATCGATACCGAAGTCCGGGTCCAATTTCGCGATCAAAACTTGCTCAATTTCAAATTTCAGTGTCTCTCATTAACGAGCGGCTGTTTAGGAGTTACGCGTATCGATTTAAGTTATCCGAGTCATCATGGCCTCGATTCTCAGGAGAACGAGAGAAATTTATCACTGGTTCCAGAGGTCACGATCGTTCGGGTTAAGTTCGAGACTGGTTGGCCACATGCACTTTCGGTCATGCAGAATCACTTGCGATCCGATTGTACATCGTTGGCCTTAGCCAAACCACATCCGTCACCTTCCTACGATCGGCCCACATAGGCCCAAAATATTTCTTCATCGTTTCTCGAAATCTGTGCCAGGTTGACGATCGGGTCCCTGTCCACGTACCGTGTTTCCTAATTAGCCATACCCATTTGGTCAGTATCCCGAGAGTGATCAGTTATGGGCGAGACTTACTAAAATGAAATGATAAATAATACTCGTTTTATTGATTCCGGAATTGAGTCGAAATTCGGGGTGTTACACCGGCCGCCACTCGGCGCTGGCCGCCTCCCCCCGCCAACCACCTGACGCCGGCGATCACCCACCACCGGCCGCCATCCTCTGCCGCCGGCCATCGTGCTCCACCGCCCGATGCTGACCACCACCTAGCGCTGGCTGCCCTCGACTGCCAGCCACCTCCCGCCCCTGGCCACCCAATGCCGGCGGTCACCCACCATCGGCCGCCATCCTTCGCCACCGGCCACCGTGCTCCATCGACCGACGCTGGCCACCCTCCGCCACCAGCCACCTCCCGCCGTTGCCCCCTGCTGCCGTCACCGCCGCCCGACGCCATCGTGCTCCGCCGCTAACCGCCGTGCTCCACTCCCTCCCGCCGCCTGCCGCCATCCTTTGCCGCCGCCGACCATTGTCCTCCGCCCCCCACTGCCACCCGCCATCCTCCGCCGGTAGCCCAGAAGGGAGAAACTCGTCCATGGAATAGAAATGGATCATTCGCGCCCTAAACACGTTTCTATTCTTTTTCTATTCCAGGAATAAAAATTTTGTGCAGTTACTAAACGCTATTTTTTGCTCAGAAACTGTTCCAATAAATAGAAATAGAAAAAACTATTTCTGATCAGAAATTGTTTCTAGGAACAAAAACGTTGCTATGCAGACCCTAGCTCATCACTTGTGCATTTCCTTTCGTGTTTGGATCATCCATGAAATCAGGGTTGCATTGATATCTCAATGAATTGGAGTAGTGTGTGTTCTTCTATGGTAAGATTAGGACCAGCATCACTCATGAGTTATTCGCTTTTGAAGATGTCTTTTTTTGGGGGCTTGTTTGATGCTTTAGCCGACAACTAGTTGCGTTAAAAAGACAATTTCAAAGGATCGATCGATGGCTATTGAGAACAATTGCCGATAACTCGACAGCTGATTGGCAGTAAATTGTCATTGACAGCGTCAAACCAGGATTGATCGGCTAACATCGTGGAATGCCTAGGATTTTGAGAACCAATTAGGAGAGACTAAGGACAATCCGTTGTCAGCATAGACTTATTGAAAACGACTCGGTCCAACTCCAATCGATGAGAGGATTTGTCGAGACACTAGTCATTTACCAAAATTTACATAGCAAATTAAAACTCTGGGTGCATTTTGAACAATCCCGAACACTATAAAGGGCATCTTGGATTTTCTTTTTCCTTTTTTCTTCCTCATATATCCTTAAGTGATGAAAAATCGACGTAGACTCACTCGCTTTCGATAATTTTTTAGGAGGCAAATTAACAAGGAAGATGTTCGAGTAGACCCTTTTTAATATGTAGGGGGGCATGCTTTGTATTTTTCTTTGCCATGACATTTGAGGACCTTTTGTAGTGGTAGCTGTATTGTGTGCTATGATAGTATAATCTATCCTGACCTGAAACTATAGATGTTACATGCATTTGGCAAATATAGGTGTCTTTGATATAGAAGCTACAGGCTTCCAGCACATTAACAGCTGGGTTTAGTAGGGAATATGGAATTGGGCTTTGGGCTTGAGCGATTGGTTTGACTCATATTCTAAATAAAATTGGGCTGTATGGACCGTCGATTAGGTGGAGCTCATACCATGACAAATGGCAATAGTCCTCATGTTTTTTTAAACCACCCTTACTAATCAACAAGTGTTATCATTTCAAAAGAATGAACTTTCAAGTTGAGGTTTTGTTGGGAGATCACTCGTTGGGGGTTGGAAACTTGAAACGTTTGCTCAAGCGATATACATTTTCATTGGCAAAAGTACACCACAAGTGCCATAACTTGTGTACGGCGATCACTTTGGTGCCATAACTTTTTTTCGGATCACTTTGGTGTCAACTTTTTTGAAAATCGATCACTTTAGTGCCAATGCTAACGTGGCTCGCCGGAAATCCGATGTGGCGCTGACACGGCTCGCCGGAGAGGTTCAGTTAGCATTAAAAACAAGAAACGACGCCGTTTAGCCCGCTGACGTGTATTTTTTTAAAATATTTATATTATATTTAATTGATTAATTAATTAATTTAAATAAATAAAAAAAAGCCCTGCAGCAGCGGCAAGGGAGCCCTTGCCGCTGCTGCCGCTAAGCCACCACCGCTGGGAAGGGCCGGTGGTGGTGGGCGCAGTGGTCGGCGAGGGTCGCCGGCCCCTGGCCGGGGCCCAACAACCCTCGCCGACCCCCGGCGACCCTCGCCTCGCCCGGTGAGGGCCCGATCCGGCGAGGCGAGACCTCGCCGTCGCCCGGGTCATGACGGCGAGGTCTCGCTCGCCCGGGAAGGCGAGGCCGCGCCTCGCCGTCGCGACCCGTGCGACGACGAGGTCCGGCCTCGCGCTCGGGCGGCGGGACCTCGCCGTCGCTGGGTCGCGACGGCGAGGTCTCGCCTCGCCCGGTGAAGGCGAGGTCGACCTCGCCGTCGCCCGGGTCGCGACGGCGAGGCGCGGCCTCGCCCGGCGAAGAGCGAGGCGGGGCCTCGCCGTTGCGACCCGTGCAACGGCGAGGTCTCCTCGCCGGATCCGGCCCTCGCCGGGCGAGGCGAGGGTCGCCGGGCCCCGGCCAAGGGCCGGCGACCCTCGCCGACCACTGCGCCCACCACCGCCGGCCCTTCCCGGCGGTGGTGGCTTGGCGGCAGCAGCGGCGAGGGCTCCCTCGCCGCTGCTGCAACACCTTTTTTGTTTTTTTTTTCTAAAAATTAAAAAATTCGAAAAAAAGCCACGTAATTTACACCGTGTACAAGTCAGACCATTTTTTTTTAATATAAATGCCATGTCAGCTTTTTGGCAGGAATTTTGGCCGGAGTCACTAAAGTGATCGATTTTCCTCCGACTTGGCACCAAAGTGATCCGAAAAAAAGTTATGGCACCAAAGTGATCGCCGTACACAAGTTATGGCACTTGTAGTGTACTTTTGCCCATTTTCATTACACCATCGAGTATAAACCTTCTCCCTATCGGTATGAGGTGACGCATCGTGTATGTCCGTTGGTTAGCCAAATCCGTCATTATCAAATCCTTTAAAAGAAGGATCATCGTTAGATCTACTACCAGTATAAAGAATTACTTATATGAAGGATATGTATGTTTTGAGTCTAACTTTATAATCGAATTCTTTCGCATGTCATCTATCCAATGATAAGTGTGTGAATTATATTTTATACCTGCAGTGGATCTAATAGAATTCCTCCAAAGAAAGCGTAGTCAACACCTTCCCAATGACAAAAAAATTATGAGCAGAGACAATTTTCTGTATTAAATATATAATAGGAGGAATTCGTGGCTGGGACATTCCCATTCAAGTTCAATGATCGAATTCGAGTTGACCTTCAACTTGAAGCAGAGAGCATTATAATAGGAGGAATTCGTGGCTGGGACATTCTCACTAATTTTTCAAATTTTGATTTGCTAAAAATAATTAATCAACGAAAAATCATTTTACAGTTAAAAAAATATCCATATTTAAAATATGAAAAATGAGTTTCCTGTCCTGAAAAGGCAAAAACATATTTCTTGAAAATGATTTTTATGAAAAATATTTTCCTTCATCATAAAGTTTTCTCCAAAACAATGAGAAGCTTCTCTTTCTTCACAGATAATGCGATCCATTAAACAGTTTTTAGGGTGTCAAAAACTGAAAACCGTATTTCCAAGCTATCCATCACAGGATATATTTCACTTTCCAGTCCTCCTTGCGCCAGGGCACTTGAGTATGAGTTACACATCCTAGAATATTACACAGATCATCAAAGTGTATGTGAACCCTCATCAAAGTTCCAAATGCAAACCCAAGTCAACCGTAGAGCTCTCCGAGTCCGAAAGCTTTAAGGGCACGTGGCCGAAAAGTCTTGACAGGATGAGGCGCGCGACGTTCTCGGCTGCAACCGCGCTCGTCTCCATCGTGCTCGCGGCGTTCTCAAAAGCATTGACGTAGTATAAATGCTGTCCATCCAAAATGAACGGGGCAAACACTTTAGGAGCCTTGTAACGGGGGTAAGCGCCCCAATTGATGGGGATCGTCTCCTTCCGGACACTGCAAACAGCAATATCGACGATTAGCATTTGCTCGTCGGTCTACTTTGTCATTGAGTTCATAAAGATGCCGTGTTTTCTTTCTCACTATCTACAGCGTAGTCTTGCGAGACGGTGTATTACTTCCAAAACAAGGCAGTGCTTCGACACTCTTTTCGAACACTTCCTAGGCCTTTCGATAAGTCATTTCTGACTGAAGGGCCTAACTCCATCTGAGCAATGCACAGGAGATTTTTGTAGCTGTGAGGTTACTCGTGGCCTCTTAAACATGAGATCATCCATGGAAATGACCTCAAGAATTTATCGCCTATTAAAGGATCTTTGCATAGATAATAGATCCGACTACCTCTCAGCAAACAAAGCAAACACATCCACCAAGTGCAACAAAGAACGAATCTAGCTAGACCACAAAATAACATGTGCATGTAGGTCACAATGTACCTTAATAACTAGGGCAAAGAACTAAAACATGTTACCTGAATATCTGATCCAGCAACGTTTCTACCATGGCTTCGCGGGAGAAAACCTTGTAAGTCACCTCCTTTTCATTGTGTCGCTTGAGAACTGAAATGCTCAAAAAAGGTACGCCAGGATCCTCGATTGTACTAACCAGTTCCGGAATTTCTTCCACGGAGCTGAGCCCAAAGTATGCCTTTTGCACACAATGGCATTCCCATTTAAAAGACAAAAAGGGAACGCGAAATTAGTAACTAAGACAATACAATGTGATGAAAAAAGATATAAATAGATGATTGAGACAGAAACAAATAAAATGCTCACAGGATTTAGAAGACCCCTCACGAAAGTCGCATGCGTGTGCTGTAGCTTCCTTGGAGGAATTGAAACTGGAGGGTCAAAGCGTATGCCCACCTCATCCAATGGGATGGCGACCACTGCAACCTCGCACTTATAACTGTTACCTTTGGAGGAGTTGAGCTCATAATAGTTTCCAAAATTAGAAATAGACTCTATCTCCTCACGAAGGTGCAGAGCGACATTTGAACGATTGATTAAACCAGCAGCCATCTGCCAGTTTCCTCCTTCGACGGACCATAGGTCACCCCCTGATCCTGCCAAGGAAACAGCGCCAGCAAGTCCGCTGATGCTTACACTTTGACCATAATTAATCCTTGTGATAATCTACAACATAACAATGCTAGATGGTCAGAATAATTATAATAAGAACTATGAAGAATGAAATAGATGGTCCACCAGGATACTAAATTTGGCATTTCGAGTTCTAATCGTACATAAGATCTTTTCTTCATGAAGAGCTAACTATATATTGTATCTCCATCTCCTCCCCAAGTTCATTTGATCTATAAGATCACCAGATTCTAATATATGGAGATTACTATGGCAATTGGTTGAATCATCCAGCACATATATTCACTTTAAGCTTGAACAGATCATGTAAGTTCATCAAACAACGTATTGTTGGCTATCCCAATCTGAAATTTTTATGTTTTCTTTCTTTTCAAGTTCAACTGACCCAACTCTACTTCAACTTTTCTGATTGATCAGAGACTATCTCATATGACACAATGCTGTGGTTATCTTGGCAACCGATGAAGACTATAGCAAGAGAAGCACAAGCCATTAGCAATACTGCTAATAAAAACCTCATACAGAAACCGAAAATTATATCACATTATGCCAATTTTTTCATAGCTTCGAAATCCAACAAATAGAAACAGCAACATATTATTCCATGCTGGAACTATTAATGCCGAATTTCACACATAAATAGCAGAAAATTTGCAATTGGAAATATCATTTTCAACAAAAAGCAAAATAAACAGGCCATCAAAAGGGCAGGAAATCATTTTTCGTTTATACAGGAAAATGTGATAATTGAGAATAGCTTCAAAGTTATAAAATCAGGCACTAAAACTCTCATAAGCATGAGACTCGAGGGTTGGAGAGTTTGATATAATCTAGTATGTGCGTGAATGCTAAATAGACTGATCAATGCCATAAGCGTGCACATATATTAGCCATTCAAACAGAGCACAACATATGAAATATCCAGTTCACATAACGTAATTTAGCAGCAAAAGAATCGTGACTACAAATCCGTGTACCTAGACCTGCAGGGATGCTCCAAAGCATGCATCTAGCAGCCCAACGCTAAAGTAAAGGGCTGCGTCAAGTAAACAGCCACATCGAATCTCATTGCATGACGTCACAGCAATCAAAGTCAGTCTACCTAGCAGTCACTCAACCTCTTCGACAAGAAGTAGAGTAACCTATGTTCTATCCTTGAAAGACATCCTATTCCAATTCACACTTCCTTGATCCCAGATGCACCTGTTACCAAAGTTGTCAGTACAAACTTAGGCTGCAGTCACTTCACGAAGCCTTTGCCACTCACAGTTGGACTTTCTTCAAGCCATGACCTAGGAGTATTTCCCAAGACTTAGGATGATGACAACTTAATATATCTCTTAACACATCCAGAAAGCACCCCGACTTCCCCCACCTCCCCAGGCTGGGGGAGATCCAGAAGGAGGGGAAAAAACAAAGAGAAGACTAGGAGCTCTCTCAAACTTATTGTCATCGTTTACCAGCAAATCTCCATGCCTTCCATTAACAGTTTGAAATACCATAGGTTATCATTCGCATTCATGACACCATTCCATGCATATTTGCTACTGTAAACTAGGTCAACTTTTTTTCTTTTAATAAGAAAAGATTTCATTATAAAGGTTGGTAATCTGTCTACAAGCCCATTATACAATCTAGAAACACTTTTATTCACCCGCTAGGGGCCTGGCCGTCCATGAGGCAGCCACTACACCAATATTTGTTTCATATGTACATGAATGGGCACATACTTTTGGTTGTAAGTTATTCAATCCTTTTTTATTCTCTTTTTCTGAGTAAAGATGGATCCACAGCATCATCTTCGTACAACGTATTGGTTCAGGGAATAGATATATGACAATTAACCCCATTAGAACTTGCAATCCATTCAAGTAAAGGCATCCATAGGATGAAAATTTGAAGTAAGTCACTAGCCAGATCTTGAGCAGATACATACTATAGAGGCAAAAGCACTGTCGTATCAATATAAATCAATCGTGAAATTTATGAGAATTCTTACAGTGATGAGTTCCCTTATCAGCAAGGGCGACAACCCAATACTAATTAACTCTTCCTCTAAAGTATGCCCGGTAAGATTGTAGAGCCCTGCCCATTTGAGCATCTCATCCACCGTCTCAAAAACGGGTCTCGAGTCGGTGTTTTCATAGTACTTCAAGAAGTTATTCACAGTCCTCTGCAACATGGAGATGTAGCTATTTTCATGTGTCATGAAGAAAACAACATCATTATGCAAATTGACTGAACCAGACACTCAAGAAAAACCAACCCATCATTCAATTTCACTCCACTTCTCCATTCAAATACTCTGTTCAGAATGGATAGACAAAATCGATTGAGAGATAGAGAGAGAGAGACCTGAACGAAGTTGTCCATGCGAATGAGAGAAAACCCATAACGCCAGAACAAGAGCGCCTTGTTGGCGAACGACACAATCTTGTCAACGAACGGAAGCTTGGAGTTGACCCTCCACGTCTTGAAGACGAAGCTCTTCCCATCTCAGATCCCAAAATCGCCATCGTCGTCGCGACCGTCGCCAGCCGACGTGGCATTCGGCCATCTGATCTTCAAGCCGATCAACCTGGTGTAATTCAGGGCGTGGTAGTTCTTGGGGTGGAGAATCGCCCCGCCGGCCTCGAAGCTCTCGCCGCCGACGGCGACCCTCGCCATGCGACCCCCAACGACGCCGCGCCGCTCGAAGACGCGGACGGAGATGGAGGCGGAGGCGGACGGGGAGGAGTACTCCCGGAGGAAGTGGGCCACCGAGGAGCCCCCGATTCCGCTTCCGACGATGCAGACCGAGACAGGGGACGACGACGACGACGTGATGACCGGGAGCAAGCATAGTAGGATGAAGAGCGTGACGATGCGGGCGACCATTGTGGCTGCTTGTCGAGTTTCACTTCTCTTGTTATCTCTTCTTCTTCAAGATTGGTTTGAGCTTTCGTTCTTCAGAATTCTTGGAAGAAGAACTTCGGAGTTTTTGGGGTGATGGAGGAGACCGACGAAGGAAGAGGTTTATGGGTTGCTGAGACATGGTGGGTCGAGGAAAGTATACTTCGGAAACCATGGACGCCGTGGCTTTGCAATGCTTTGCAGGTTGCCGCATGGTTTTGGTCGTCGAAGATAATCTGCTCCGTCGAAAACCATGGACGCCGTGCCGTGGCTTTGCACTGTTTTGCAGGTTGCGGTCTTCTGTTCTTACGACCAAAAACTATAATATATGGCCACCATAAAGCAAACGGTAACTTAACTTTAACCCAATTAGGTGGTCCATGAATTTTTTATTTATTCGATATGATATTTGAACTTTACCTAAATATATAACATGGTCCTCAAATTTTTAATTTATCCAATATGATCTCTGAACTTTTGATGCATGTTGAATTAAGTTTCCGGACTTTATGAAAATGTTAAATGTTGTTTTTCTATTAATTCAAGTTTAGGAAAAAAATTGAACATTTTCGTATAATCCATGGACTAAATTAAACAAATTAAAATTTTAAGGAAATATTGAACAAATTAAAAGTTCATGAAAGACATTATATATCAAGCCAAATTTTAGAAATCATTAGTGTTATTTTCTCACATATATGTATATATATAGACAAACACAAGAGCTCACCACTCATGCATTTCTTTTGTGTTTGGATCATCCACGAAGTCAAGGTTGCATCCATATCTCAATGAATCAAAATAGTGTTCATCTACAGCAAGATTCAAGAGACATCACGATTTAAAAGGATCAATTGACGGCTATCGAGAACAATTACCAATAACTTAACGACTAATTGGCACGATTGACAATGAATTGTCGTTAACTACATCGAGCCAGAGGATCGATTGGCTGCAATCATGGAATACCTACAGGATTCGAGAATCAATTAGGAGAGACCAAAGACAATATGCTGTCGGCTTGTACATATTGAAAGTGATTCGGGTCCAACTCCAAACCACGTCAATCAAGAGGATCAATTACTACTTAAGGATCGAGACCAATTTCCACGTCTCAAGACATGATACATTTTACCAAGATTTGTATTGTAGCATGATAGTATAATCTATTATGTGCTGAAACTATAGATGTTAAATACACTTGGCAATAGATGTCTTTCAGATAGGCGCTATTGAATATGTAACGGAGGCTTCAGAATATTTACCAAATTCTGGGCTTGGGCTGATTTGACAACTTTGTGGTGAATTATAATTTATCAGCTGGGCTTAGTAGAGAATATAGGCTTGGGCTTTGGGCTCGAGCTTGGGATTGGTTTTCAGTCGGATTCGAAATGAAATTGGGCTTAGACCGTGTGTTGGACGTGTATGGGCCTAGGGGCTTCGGTAGTTGGGCCTGTCTCTCAATCCAATTCTTAGCTGCTCCCGATGCATGTGAGCTCAACTTACGTGTACATCGGATGTGGTGGAGCCCACGCTTAATTTTTTATGATGATTGATCATTTATTCGCATTAAAAAACGCATTTCTTAAACAAAATATAAGGTAACAAAATGTTGAAATCCAGCAGGTTTCAAGCGGATTAAGAACCCCTACAGTAATATGAGTAGAGCTTGGGAATAGAATTACTAACATAACTCAAATTTGAGTTGGGACTCGGGGATATAATTGAAGTCTTGGGTTTGGTCTCAATATAGAATCAGTCAATCCATGACCGTCATGATAGGATTTCTAACTTCAGTGGAGTATGTATTTATAGGAGAGAGTAATTTAGGTTGTCGGGCTTTAGTTGACAGGTGGTGATCAATACTATAACAAATAGCAAAATGTCATGACGAGTGGCTGTGCCTCATGATAATACGATGGTCTTGACATGTTGTCAAACCGCCCTTGTGAGCTAATAAGTAAATGCTTTATTGGGAGATTGTCCATCAGGTGTTACTAACTTGAAACACTTTCTCAAGTGGCATGCTTCTTCATTACACCGTCGAGTATAAAACTATGGTTGGTCATATCCAACATGAGTCGATTCCAACCCTGGAACCGGACTAGGCAGGGTCTATTTCCAATTTGCAGAATTGGGAATCGGCCTACTCGATCTTGGAATCGATGATTTCTTTTTCTTTTTCTTTTTTGGTTTCTTCTATTCCTTACAAGTGGGAATTTCCCAACATTAAAAGAAAAGGATAATTTACTAATTAGGATTTGCTTCAAAATAAAAAAATTAAAAAAATTAAGAAAACTTGGCTGGTCCATCGGTCCAGTTCCTTATGTAGAATCGAGAATCGGACTGGTTATTTCCAGTTCCAAATTTTGGAATCAGAAACCGGACTGATCCCCTTGAAAACCACCTAAAATCGATCGGTTCATTACAGTCCGGTCCGATTCTCGGATTGGACCGGGATCGATGCACACCCCAATGTAAACCTTCACCCTTTAGGTATAAGGTTCCACGTAGTGCATATCCATTGGTTAACCATTCGTCATTATCAATCCCTCTTTAAAAATTATCATTATTAAGACCCAAAAAGAATGTCACAAAAACCCAAATTATGCCAATTATAACAAATTTACGGACTTTTTTTTTGTAATATCAAAAACCTCAAACTAGATCCATTATGACACATTTATCATAAAATTTTCTTGTGACATAAAAACTCAAAATTTGTAGGGGCATCCTCGATCACCAAACTTCACTCTTAAGCCGGTCGCAAATTCGATGCTTTTCCTTTTGATCAATGCGTTTGAGATTTACCCCATCAGCGATCCACTTACTACTGGAACCTACACCAAAGACGGTACGGTAGCTTTCAAACCCATGATTGACATAAATTTTCCCGCTTTGTGCAATTACTCGTGACAAACACTTGATTGTACCGAGAATGTGACATGTAAACCAGCTCAAACCCAAGGCTATAATTGACTAGCTTTCTCTACTTGTGCAGTGGAGGGATTATCTGTGTTACAAAGCAAATTCATCGTACTATGACAGTGGACCGAGGACCCGTGTCTAGCATCGGCACATGCCTGGGATTTGGTCAGTTGCGGCACCGATGTTAGTCCTCGAGTAACATCATTGTGAGTGCAAGCCTTTGTGTTTTGAGTTTTTGAGAATGATGACTAGTGTAATCTGAAGTTGAGGAATCGCTCACACACTGGTCTCTACGGTGCACTTCGAGTCCTTAATATCGTGGATACACTTCAGACAATGTAAGTTCATGACCCCGTGACATGGAACTAATTAGCTTTCGCGACTAAATTAAGCATGGAGTTTTGATTTTTCTCGATTTCAAAGTGCAGCGATGCGCATAACAACAGCTTGGACTGCCCTATTCCCGATTTTCTCGGCATGTTGCTGATCTTCAACTTCTGTGAGTCAATCATGTCTCCACCGAAGCACTCCTTTTCTCCTATGCATTTGCATTATCCAAATCGAATTTGTACCCTCTCTACTTCATTCCCATGTAGGGACTTTTAGCAGACAACAGGTCCAATGGAACTTTACCTGGACAATCGAATTTGAAGCATATGTAAGTAGCTCTTAAAGGGACGGTAATATCATGTGGCATCACATAGCCTCGCAGACCAATCTAAGTGGTTCTTTGTATTGGAAAATTTTAAGATCACATGTTAAACGAGCTCACTTTGTGCGCGATACCGCATCAATAATACAGTATACCTGGTACTATAACCATCCTTTTCCTTGACTAACTTAAACTAATTTAATGGTACAGAGTAAGTGGCAATTGCCTCAATGGTGTGCCATGCAGAGCCACAGCTCCGACGCCACCAGCATCCTCTGTAGGTCTCAGGCCAAGCCAGCTCGGATCGGCCTCGTCTTCAGATGGATCTCCCTCTTCATCAGTTGGCAACGAGATTCCGCTTAAATTGGCAATCATGGTCCAACTTATTTTCTTTCCATTCACTTGACTAGGGGATGTTTAAATGGGACGTACTATATATCAAGTTGGAAACGGCGAGCCTCGCCAAGTTTTCTTATTTATCAGATTCTGTAACCAGATGTGCTTCTCACCACTATTGCTTCCTAAGTAGCACCGACAACGACATGTCATTTCTAAAAATAATAAAAAAAAGAATATGACACGCTGGGACACGTTGTATATTAAATATATATTTTTATATGTACATGATAAACTATCATTTTTATGAAATCAAATTAATTTGATTCAAATCTACAAATAAATAAATAATAAAAAAAGAGCCTAGAATTAATTTACACTAAAAACATTAATCCACCATTTGTTAATATCATTCATTGTTTTCATTTGACAAATTCAACAACATTCCATTCCCATAATCCAAAAAACTTGGAGAGAAAAAACATAAACAATCTACATTCCACCATTAAATTTAACATTTAACAATAAGTTAAAAAATAAAAAATAATCCACGTTTCACCATCAAATATAACAAGAAATCATTCATCTACATTATCCACTTCTTCTGAAAATATCTTCAAATGTGTCAAATACATCTTCGCAAATATCCCACATCTTGGTCTATCCTTCTACATATTGTGGGTTTTTTCTTAATAGAAGACGAAAGTTGCTGTAAGTGAAAACCAAATCTTCTGCACGTTTTGGAGTATCTTATTTCTCCTCATCGAGTGCACAAATGAGTAAGTACTCCAATTTCTCTTGGCACACGATGAAGAAGAAGGTTGTACAAGAAGCTTTAAGACTATACTTTGAAGCATATGTGCACATGCACCATAATTAACCCACCAAGTCTTAGGATCCATACAATACCGATATTGAATGGAATCAAATTATCTAAAATTCCCATTTTTGTTCGCAAAATCTAGATACTTCAAATTCACCTTGTTTTGCTCATCCAAGTTAGGAAAGTATTTCCTTAGGCATTTTAGTCTTTCTTGGTTGATCTCTTTATCCTTGTATGGAGAAACAC